GAATTTTACAGCCAGAAGCATCTGTGGATCTCTTCTGCCTTTTCATAGATGCTCAGCTATCTCAGCATGGAGCCAGTAATGAACGTGAATAGGCATCTTCAGACAGGCCAACAAAAAAATGAAAGCAGCTCTTTAAAAATGGGAATAATGTTTGAAATGTGCCAAATAATGTGGATCAGTCCTGGGTGGAATACAAGGAAGCAAACCAGTCTTGGTTAATGCCCTTTTCCCTAGAACATGGAAGCCACTCCCCAACCCTTCACCCCCAATCTGTTTGAAGTCACTTCAGGAGTACAACCTTGCTTGACTGGAAATGAGTGGATTTACTAAAGGTAAAACTAGCAACTGCTGCATCATTGCTATTTCCTCTCAGCATGTTCTCTTCACCTCTATTTTGGAACCAGTTAGCTGTCGCTGAGCTTTCCAAGTTACATTTATTCTGAATGCACCAGCTCAGCCTCTGAATGAACCATGCTAACTGGATAGCATTTCCCAGTGAACTTGGCAGAATGAGAATCAAATAGTTACTTTCTCTATGGCAAACTACAGGGACAAGCCATAAGATAAATATAAAACAATTATGTTGCTTCACTACTGCATTTCAGCAGGATTTCTGTTATGATGCTGAGGGGCTCAGCTCCATTTTAAAATTACCAAGAAACAAAAGAAGTGAAGTTTCACAAGCTTGCAGTTTACTAAGGTAACAGTGGAGACAGTTTTAGAGTAGAAGTAAATGGGGATCGGGATAGTGTGTGTGTGTGAGAGAGAGAGAGAGAGAGAAGTATTATTCAAAGGCGTGCATTCCATGTGGCTTGGAACATTTGGAGATCATGTTTAGGGAGAAAGCAGTATATTTTCAGAGCAGTTCTGATGATTCTTTTCCTTCCTCATAATAACCAGAATAGTAGATACTCCTGAGGGATAATTGCGTGTGGTCTGAAAACTGTCTTCATAGCACATCTAATACAGTTTGACTTATCCTGGTGTGAACATGGTGCTTTGAGATGATCCTGAGAAACTGTGTTAATACAATAGCTTCATGTATTAATATCTCAGGCCTTGAAAGGAGGAGGCAGCTGCCGCCGTTGTGCCTCGTGCGGACAAACCAGGGAGGGTGTGTGTGAACAGTGAGGGAACCAGGAAGAAGGTAAGTGTTGGACTGCAGGTCGGGGGGAGGTGGAGTGAGGGAGGCATGAGGCGCAAGGAGGCTGAGCGTGTGACAAAGTGTGGGGTGGGGGGAGCCGCCAACAGGCGATGCACTAAGGGCGATGTGACAAGGGTCTCCTCCCTTGCCTCCATCCCTTAGCTGCAGCCTGGGCTGTCTGGGGACTCTCTTCCCCTGGGTCATTTTTTTTCAATTGTTCATTCTATTTTTATTGTATTTTTCTCTCTGGGAGAACAAGGTGAGGAAAATCAGGTAAGGGTAGCGTAGGACAGACAAGGTGGGGGAAGTAGGTAGGGGCTGCGAAGGGTGGCCTAGGTCAGACCAGGAGGTGGCCATGGCAGGAGCCACAGGTGTTGCTGGCTGCTGCGACACCTGTGCCATGTTTCATAGAATCATAGCATCATAGAATAGTAGAGGTGGAAGAGGCCACGAAGGAGGCATTGGCTACCTGGGGCCTCACTAGTCTCAACAACTCCATTATCAGAGTGAGAACTCCGAGCCACTCCTGGGACAACTATCATCTCCCCCTCTTCTGAGCCTGAGCCATCGTTCCACCAGAGCCCTTGATCTCTTGTGCGCACCTGGGAATCTCATCTGAGCGCTCATGTACAACACTTCCTGAGAGTTAGGACTGCTAGGGTATAGAATGGGCTTCCACGGGAGGTGGTTGAAGCCCCATCATGATGGTATTCAAGGATAGGCTAGACATGCACATGGTAGGCATGTCATGAGTGGAGCCAGCTGGAGCCGGAGGTCAGACTAGATGGCCCAGGAGATCCGTTCTGACTTGCCCTGTTTCTATGTTTCTGTTTCTATATGAAAGATGATTGTGATTACTGCTCATTTTGCATTTTGTCAGGGAAAGCCAAGTAAATCTTTAAAAAGAAAGCTTGCTTATATGTGCCTTTGTGATATAAAATCATACCTGCAGTGTCTCTGTCATTCTTGCCTAGGAAAACAAAAAACCAGCATTCTCAGCCTTTTCCCCTGAAGCTTTACCTTATCTGTTGGTATGTACCGATTCTTCCCTCATCATCTGCCTCATTCCTACGTATGTGACTAGAAACCTACAAAACACTCTGTGTATGTTCTGGAAACTTGTAGCTGGTTTGTGCACCTCTACCTGGCAGCACTATTGTAGGTTTGTGTCTGCAGAGGGTTTTTTCTGGATATTCGCACTAATAAAACTGCTGAGGTTTGTAACATAGAGGTCTCCCTGTGGATCCAAGCTTGCATTCTCATGGTCTGAGAAACCAGGATTTTACCTGAGACATTTCAGGAACCTATATACCTGGGATTAAACCCATTTGAACTCAAGGCGACTTAATCTATAGTCTATGCATTATATCTATGCAGTGAATCATGGTAATTTTCAATGTGTTCCATATTGCCCAATCATTGGAAGGCCAAGTTGATCCATCTCAGATCAACCCCCTTTTAAATATACTAAATATGAAATACTTTTTGTTGCACATCTGAGTGAAAATGGAATATAATCATATCAATCTTCAAACACTCACAATGTAATATGCTGGGGTGGACACAGATTTTAAACGATATAAAACTAAGATTTTTGCAAAATGACAATGTGCCTTAAAGGAAAAAGATTTATGTCTGTAAACTGCTGACCTTGTAAGATTGTAAACATCCTTTGAGAATAGGAAAAGAAGTGGAGGTGATTTCCACCTTGCTCCTCCACCTCCTTGAAAATTGGCTAGCTGGTGCTTTTGAGGAAGAGGGGAGGAGATGGAAGCACTGCCAGGAGGTGGAAGCACTGTCTTATATCCTGGTCATGCCGGGCTCCTCCCCTTCCTGAACTTTCATTGGGGTCATTTCTACAGTTTTGAAGAACGGTCGCACCAGATAATCTTGGGGAGCAATGCATCTCAAAAGGAGTCACTTGTTCCCCAGATTGCCTTGAAAGGTTTGGGACCTTTGCTGAGGTTTAACATGCGTGGCTAGAGAGAACAAACCCTGGTTTTGCATTCACATTATCACACACAGAGGAAGGAAGAGGGAAGTTCATTCATCAGAAAAAAATATGCAGCAGGCACAATCTTTAGCTCCATGTGGGCCAGACAGCAAATATTCCCATTACATCCCAATCTTATTCTCTGTTTCTAAAGAGGGAAACGGCTTCCTGCCTAACATAGAAAGAGACTACCAGAGAAGAGCCACAGGGAGGCATTACCTGCTCCTTAGCAGTAGGGCCCGAGTATCACAAAAATTGCAGGGGAGAAAGGGAAGAAAGGGAGGGAATCCTTTTAACCCCTGATATTTGTACCATCTCTCTATGAACATTTGACTTATGGGAAGGATCCCAAGCTTATGGGATCCCAAGCTTATGGGATCCCAAGCTTATGGGATCCCAAGTGTCCCAAGCTTATGCTAATTGTTGGAATGGAACTTGAAGGCTTCTTCATGGTCTTAACTCTTGTTTTGCTGGCTAAAAGGTGAGTCCTATGTGTATGTTAGCTAGGAGTTATAAATAAGGTAATTTCCAGGTGTTTCTGGACAATGGATCATCTGCTTTACAGGGTTGTTTTGTCTAATTTCCTTTATAGGGGAAATGCCTGACTGTTTGTCCGCAAGAATTTCAGCCTTCATTCTTCTCTCACACAGACTGGTCAAGGATATTAGGTCCTTCTTCCTGAATTTAAGGTCCTGGCCTGCAAGTCTGTTTTGGTCTGGGAGTTTATGGTTCTGGTGCCACTATTGATATATACACAAATTACAAAATCACCCAGTGTTTTTTTCTGCACTGCCTGTGATAGGTGGGGAAATCAAAGTGTGGGTCTTCAGTTCTGAGGCTGAAGCTCTATTTCTGTCATCATATCTGGGAATCTGAAGAAACCTATGGCCTCCTATACAATGCCTTGGGGGACATACGTTGGTTTTGTTAGTGTAACCAAACAAGGCAAAACTGGCCAAAATAATTGAAAAAAATCACAGTTGTCTGGTAGTAAGAAATGGAATGTCTCCTGAATGGAAGAGACAAGCAGGTGACCTGTGTGACCATAATACTAAACCACAGCTTACTGTGACATGCATCACTGTCCTCATTCCTCCACACTATTCCTGTAACAGAATTGTGAGACTGGAAACTTTTGCTTTCAGTTTTAACTCACCAAAATTGTTATGTCAGCCAAACTGGAATCTCAATTTTTTTAGCCAATTTATCCAAACAAGCTAGGGTCATCAACCCCAATTTGAAATTGACTTGTTTAGATAAGCTATAGTTAAAACTAATATTAGTTTTGTCCCTGTTCAGACATAAGAAACTGTAGTTAGTTGAAAACAAATTCTTCCAAGCAATTCTTCATGGCTGTACTGGGGAAGGATTGGTGATAGTGTATGTCTTTAAAACTTGTATATATTACAATAAATTATGACTTAGTGGTAATATTGCTGTGTTTATCTGGGAAATAACACCATAGCTGTTTTAATAAAAGCAAATGCTATGCCTTGTCAGTCTGCCATAGGAATTTATTGAGCAGATACTAGAAAACTATATTAACTGGCCTTTAGTCTGAAAAACATTGGATTTGACAATAAGTAACATATCCTAAATGATTCTATCTCTCTATAAAAATTTTCAGCCTGATTGCTTTGGGCATAAAAAGACCATGCATATACCTTTGATGCAGTGAATTTATTAGGAAAATCATACAATGCACAGCCCTCTTGATTTTAGTTCAGTTTGGATTAATAATTAATGCAAATGTGTTTTCATAGCACTCTAGTGAGTCTGTTCAGTTGTTCAGTTAATTTGAGCATTGAAGGATTAATGTGAAGTATTGTGTCAGGGCAATTTTTCGAAAGGCCCTGTCTGTCATCAGAATTGTACTGCCAATGTCTTCTCAGACCCAGACAAGGTCATTTCAGTTTCTGTCAAAAAAAAAAAAAAAAAAAGCACCATTGGTAAACTGCGGACAGAATCCAAAGCAATATATATTCTAAGGACTGTGGACACTTTTATAAAATAAGCAGTGATACATCCACCTTGAATTTAGTGACAATGACCTAATTAATAATGAAATAACCAAGAAATGATGATAATAAAATAGAACGTTTGGGTTCTTTTAATACTTGTTACACGCTGTCAAGTTATCTGTGACTTCTGATAACCTCTATGGATGTGTGCCTTCCAAAATGTCCTTTCCTGGACAACCCTGCTTCTTTATAGAACTGAGCCATCTAATATTTGATCTTCTTCTGCCTTTGGTTTTTCTTAGTATTTTTCTTTAGTGAGCTTTGCCTTCAACAGCTTCAGTGCTGTAATATTTGGTTCCAGGGCAAGTCCTGGCTTGCTTATCTTTTTGTTGGCCCAGAAAGCTGTTCACAAAGCTCCGCTCAAGTGCAATGTTTCAAACACATCAATTTTCTTTTTGTCAGCTTTGTCACTTTCCAGATTTCACACCCATAAACAATGATCTGGAATAAAGTACTGCAGATGATCTTGGCCTTGGTCTCCAGTGAAATGATCATTTTGATGATTTAATGATCGTTTTTTCATTTCTTCTTTGCTGCCTTTCCAAGTTTCAGTATTCTAGTGTCTTGGCTGGAGTAACTTGAATTGAATTGGAGTAATTTGAATTGATGACTGAGCCAAGAAATGGAAAATCTTTTGCAATTTCAATTTCTTAATTGTTGACCTTAAAATGGTGCAACTCTTCTGTAGTAATGATTTTTTTTTTTAATGCTCAGTTGCTGTCTTGTTTTTTCACTTTCTTCTTTCATTTTCTTTCAGTTTCATCAGGAGCTTTTAATACTATAGAGTCACCAATCATTTTTTGTGATTATAAATATAGTAAGCAATATTATGCTTCTATAGTATTAAAATAATTATATACGTTTCTGTGTGTGTATATATTTGATTTGTGGCTTTGCACAGTGTTCTTTGCACTGCATTTTTAGCAAGCGATGTAGTCCTTTGCTGAAGAGCAATTCATTCAACAATGCAGCCACTTGGTTGCAAAATTGTAAGAGGCAACAAGAGGCCCCCAGGGAGTGGTGCAATGGCAGCTGAATTTCACACACAGGTCTGAACTATCCACTCTTTTCAGAGAATGAGTGCAGAGGCAAAAACTGGACTGAATTGCTCTAGGAAAGGTCTCTTTGTGAAGAGAGACACTGTATTGGTGAGAACAAGCTGGCCCTACAGTAAGCAGAATGAAGTGGGCACCTAAGGCAGCAGATGCTGGGGGGAAGCAGCAAGAGTATTACCTACAACATGTGATCCAATTGTAGCCTTAGAAAATCATGATAAGAAGAAGGAGCTGAGTGTTTAAGCAAAAAACATTTTAATATACCTACCAAACTGTCTCAGAAATGAATTCATTTCATATGCTGTAGTCATCTCTTCTACACAGAATTACCAGAAAGTCTCCAAGGTGTCTATAGAAAAGTTTACTAATGTCTCTTGGCTCAACTCATTTAAGCATAAAGTCACTAGAATTTCCTTCCTCATGCACTCTGGCTACAATAGATGCTCCTGAACAGGCACAGAAAATTTCAGGAGCATTGAGATCGGTAGCAGGGGCTCTCCTCCGGGAGCCCTCCGTAAGAGATATTAGGAAGCAAAGTACCCGGGGGAGGGCCTTCTCTGCGGTGGCGCCCCATCTGTGGAATGTGCTCCCCAGAGAGGTCCACCTGGCACCGTCGTTATTTGTTTTTTGGTGCCAGGCCAAGACCTTTTTATTCAAACAGTATTTTAATAATCTTTAATATTTATAGTTTTAATTATGCAGTGAATGTGTTTCCAAGTTTTAATTGTAAATTGTAATTGTAAATTTTATTCTATTTGTTTTATTTATTTATGTTGTGAGCCATCCCGAGGCTGTGTAGCAATGGGGACGGCATATAAAAAACTTTAAATAAATAAATTCAGGACCTGGTGTTAAGCCCTCTGTCACTAGTGAAGACCTTCCTAACAGTCTTCTCTTTTGTCATTTTCTCACAACTAAAGTAAGTTCTGGGAAGGTTGCGGGAGCAGGGGGAATGGGACTGGTAAGAATGATGGTGTAGGAACTCTTCTCTAATGTGTCTAACTTTTTGCATATTCCCTGAAGGAGTCAGGAAGCAGGACCCAATATTTTTTTTCTCCATCGACAGTGTATTGACAGAGCTGATTTAGTTCATAATTTTTCTTTCCTTCAAATCACTAATACAGAAGTAATGATTTTGTTTTGACATTCTGGAAGTAAAGCATCACTGGTCAATATTATTAAAGTACTAACATCAACCTTACAATATATATGGAATACAGATAATACTTCCTCTTGAATCAAGCATTCACTATGAATTGCTGCTGCCATTTCCAGATTTAACTGACCTGTAGCACAACTGCCTGATACTTTCCGGGAATATAAATAATCAATGTCTCTCACTGCAAGCTGCTGATTTGGCATCTGGCCTTCATTCCTTATTTCTCCATTGTTGTCTCCACAGAGCCCACAGATCTTGCCTCTCATCTCTGAAGTTACTTTGATCTGTATGAATAATCAAAATTTATTGCAGTTGCTCATGTGTATTTCCATATAATGCAATACGTTAAGAATATTCCCATGAAAGAAAAGAAGCAGAAAATTCTAGAACAAGAGATTTAGGACTTACACTCAGTGCAATAGCATTGTAAGTCACATTTACCTGGCCATATTCTAGAGCCATGACCCAAGCAGTGTTGTCAATGTTGCAAATTTCAATGTTCTCTGTGAAGAGATGGAGTAATTTAAAATGGCATCCCTAATTCTACAGCAATAATAATTTTCAGCAGAACATAAAAACACATTCATGTTTCATTTACATTTGGCCATTTTACATTCATTACAAGACACGTTTTGTTTTTCCCTCCAGATTTCTCTGATGGTCTTATATTCAGTGATATAACCTGTACTGCCAGTACTGTACATATTTGTTCATCAATTTTGTAGGAAGTAGGCTCAATAGGTGCAACATTATTGATCAATACTAACTAAACATCTTGCTTTCATTGTGTATTTTCTTATATACTTATAGCAGACCTGTTAAATGATAGGTTTTAAGAATATAATAAGCTAAGGGATCACTTCATAATTAGTAGAGTAGCTAGACTTAATTCAGGTGAATTGAACATAGTGTGATTTAAGAAAAGATATAAGATGAAGTACCTGCACAGTTCGCACACAGCTGTCCATTTGGTAGCATTTGTTTTCCATTACACAACACATGTAATTTTTCTAAATTAGGCAAGATTTTAATACAACTTTGAAAGATAGGAAAAGCAAAAAGTGTATTATGTAAGAACATGGAATGCACACATCTCTTTAATTCTTTGAAAAGCGATACACACAGAGGTGTCAATATTAATAACACCAATAAGAACAAACAAGAATAATAGCTAAATCATAAATTGTTACATGGTAGCACTTTTCCCAGGTTTATAGAAGTTGTTATATAAGGTCCATTTTCTATATAGTTTAACAAAGCAACTAAGCATCCTAACAGCAGATAATGTTCACACACACACACACATATATAGTTGGCTTGCTATTTTCCAATTTTCTCTCAAGGAACATTTGAAAATAGAGCCTTTCAGTCTTAAAACATTTGTAAATTGTCTGAACTCTATTGTAGGCAGTGGGGCAGTATGCAGAGAAGAGAGCCTGCTTATCTTGTTCACTGCCCCTCCCCTAGGAAGGCCAAAGTGCTGTTAGAGTCACAAAACAACTCTGTGTGCTGGGCGGACCTAGAGGCAATGATTTGTCTAAGCCATAGGTAGGCTACCTGTTGGGCTCCAAGCATGACTGTAGGCCAATTGATGCCACAGAAAATACAGCTACTGATCAGAGATAATAGCAGTTGTCATCCAACCCTGCTGCCAATCTGAAATTTGAACATTGATTCTCATAGTCATATGAGCTTTCTAGCTGTATCTTGATTAGTTTCAGATTCTGAAACCATTACTAGTAGCAAGGATACTGATATTCTAGGATTCATGGATATAAGATCACTCAATTTTCATTTCATGCAGAGGAACTAAAGTGAAAAATTAGAAACTAAAATCTTGGGAAGCCTTGTAATGATGAATGCCTGGACTGACTCTAAGGATAGGCTGGGCTCACAATAAAAATTATTTGCATTATTATTTTTAAAATGTCCTGAAAAACCAATAGAAATAATCTAAACCTGCTCCTTTTCATCTGATACATTTGTTACATTTAATAAAACTTAGGTTGAAGACACTCTGAGCATAACCTTCCTTGGATGATCAGGGCTGATCTGTGTCGTCCATATAAGGAATTGTGGGTTATAATTTGCATTTTTGCTGCAGGCTTGAGCTACTAGAAGGTCACAGTCATTATTTTCAACAGTACTTCTGAATATTGTCTTGTCAAAAGTTGTAATTCTCTCTTTACCTACCCACCTGATAAGATAGTTAATATAAGTGTCAGTCAACTCTGAACATGTCCAGTCATAATCATGCAATAGCCAGGTGAAAAGTCTAGAATAGTCTCTTAAGTTGTATACTTTCCAACCAGGATGAACTTGAACAACAAATTCTTTGTGATTGACAATATATCACCTTTTGTTCCGCAGTATCATTTAGGCATGTGAATGACTGCTACACGGATATGTCACAAGAAAAGTACTTTAAGTAATATGACAAGGAATACTCTGCTACTGCAGTTCTATTTCATACACTCTGCCTTAGCAGTATAACGAGTTAAATGATTTACCTTTGAGTAGACATACATAAGTTGGTGTGTGTTGGTGTTGAAGCAGAAATAGTATGTTCGAGCCAGATTTAGTCATGCTTAGATACAGTATAATCAGTAGGGCTTAAATTAGTTACAACTAACTTTAATTTTGCTGTTTCACATGGGTCTACTCTAACCATGAGGAAGTCAGGATCAAGTCCTATATGTCTGCACAAAGCTAAGGATAAGGTTCAAATAGTGGCTTAATGCCAAATAAATATTTATTTACCTTGATCTGCATGGGCCAACAATGAAAATGAATATAAAAAGTTAAACTTTTTTTTATTATTTCTGGAGACTGATAACATAGCATTGGACTAGCAGAGAAGAAAACTGGAGAACAGAGGTTGTCCTTGTAAAAAGTTACCTAGAAAACAAATAAGAAACACATTAGGATCAATATGGCTGTAGACAAATCTTACCTTGATTTAATGTTCAGGTGGCATATTTGGACAGAAAAAGACGCATTGCCCAGCATGCTCTTAATCTCATAAAGAAAAACCTTTTCTATCTTTCGAATTGCCTAAAGCCCTAGTTTTAGTGCTTAAGCTAAACCACTCAATTTTATCTAAATGCAAGAAAAGCCCGTGTAAGATTTATTTTCTTTCATGCATTCAGTAACAGATGTTCAATAGAACTTCGTAAGGGCTAGTCCATATTACACAGATTACAAATGAGATTATCTACAATTGATGGGTAGAATGGGAAAGACTTCATGGAGCCTACTTTTTCTGGGGAACTGATTTCACCTTTCCTTTATACCAGCCCCACATTTCTACAACACGTGTCAGGGATGAAGGGAAAAAAAACATACAAGCCTAATGACATATTTTTAACTGCTCCAGCAAAAAGGAGTCCTGGGAAACAAAGCATCCCTTCTGTCAGAATTTTAAAAAAATCTGCAGAAAGTGAGATATTTCTGTTAAAAGTGTGCAGTGGATTTGAATGACCCCTGCGCAAAACTAGGTCACTTTTGGTGTTTTTCAAGGCAAACTGGACTGCCCTCCATACTGGAATCAAAACTGGTAGAGAGCATGGCTTTGTTACCATTCTGTGTTCAGAAGTGTTCAGAATTGCTTTTCCTCTTATAAATAGTGTCTTTCATTATTTCTCCAAAATAATGTGTGTTTATAGGGAGGAAGATGGGGAATATGGTTGATTGACTAATAGGTCCATTCTCTAATCCTAGGGCACATTTTACCATGGGTCCCCAACCCAACCCTTTTGGGGAAGAGCACACACATGGGACTGTGAAATGACATCCTTCCAACCTTAACTTTATCACATTTTCCCCTGAAAAATTCTTAAACTGGTCTGAAGAATCATAATTCTAAACAGATAGCCTCCAGATTTATTTGGGCTACAACTCCCATAGTTCCTAGCATAGTTGATAGCCACTTTGCCTGGAAAGTATGGGAGCTGTATTTCAAAATATTCACGAATCTATTCTTTGGAAACTTTCAGGTTTCTTTCCAGGAAAAGCACATTTATGAGGTGAACTGTTTTGCATCCCACACCAAAAGGGGGGGAAAAAAACCATAGGAGAGAAAAGAGAGAGGAAAATCCTGCGAGGAGGCAGTAATACAGAAAAAAATGTGAACCTCTCTGGGGAGCGAACTCCACAATGGGGGTGCCAGGCCAAAACCTTTTTATTTTCCCAATGTTTTAAGACCTGACTGTTTTAATTGAGGTTTTATTATTGGTTAAATTTTAGGATGCTGTCTTTAAAAAAAATACATTTGTATTGTTAAACCACCCTGAGTCTTCAGTAATGGGACAGTCTACACAAGTTTTAAATATATAAATGATAAATAAATTTACATTGTCTTCTCTATCTCCCTATCTCCCTCCTTCTCTCTAGGTGTGTGCGTGTGTGTGGGCATGCATATAATACTATTGATATATATTTTGTCCTCAGCATGTTAGAATCCAGCTCTGGGCAGTAGGAACTGATAATTCAGAGCATGGCTCGAGTGTTTGCCATTTGTACCTCTACACTGATTTCAGTAGCTAATTCTTTGAAAACCCTGGATCTTCCTACATGTGTCCACTGAATTGATCCAATAAAGCCAAATAAAAACAAACACACACACACACACACACACACACAAAAGAAAAAAAAAAGAAAAGAGAAAAGGGGAAATGACTTCATGCCTGAGGAATTTTAATGATTGCAGCGGTTGCATCTGGAGACAATGTAACCATTCTCAAAAGAAGCTCATGTGAAGGATTCTTCTGATAACCTGCTGAGAAACCATGAATATATGCAAGACCAGGAAGGACTTCCATAGCCCTCGAAGATATCAAGATATGAATTTTGTGAATGAGTCAGTTTCTTTTACTGTTTTAAACCAAATGTTCATCAATTAGAATGAGTAATCATATGGTTGATATACCAAGAATGTTTTTTTGCAGTATGGATGGCACCTTTGCGGATGTTATGAGTAGCTAGAAGGCTCTGTGCCTCTCAAGTGTACCTTCAGAAGCTTTTACTTCAAATTTGTAATCCCGGCATCTGTTTCCCAGACTCAGAGAACTCTTTAATAGAAAGTAAAACAAATATTATAGGAAAGAAATGCAAAGTTAATGGCTTGCTTGGAGCAGAACGTGTCTTCATAATGTTCCTAGATTTTGAAACTGTAACTGTGGGTCCTATGTTGTTATTCCATATAACTCACATCTGTAGGAAATACGTGGATTGTGACTTTCCCATAATGAAACTTTCCAGCAGCACAACTGGGGTGTGTGAACATTTGTGAACTTCCTCTTGACTTGGTTCATTATGCAGGACTGAGTCAATCACAATCCATGGAATCTGGAGGGACAGATTCTCAAAGTGTTCATCCAACCCTATCAGGATCAATTATTTGTATTTCTATACTGTCCCATAACTGAAGTTGTCTGGGTAGTTTACAATAATCTATTAAAAAGTACAATACAGTACAAATATAATAAAATCAAGACAGCATTAAAACAACGTTTAAGCAGCTAAAACATACATAAAAAATGAAGATTATCTGTGATGGGTAATCCCCTGACGCTCCTGGGTTGCCAAATAAATCTTTAAAGACCTTGGCATAGCGTGGCACTGAAAAATGACAAGTTGGCGCCAGGTAGGCTGCAGTGGGGAGATTGTTCTACAGATGGGGTGCTACCACAGAGAAAGCCCACCCCTTGCTGCCACCCTCTGAATCTCCCTCAAGAGTAGGCATCTGGAGGGAGGTCCCAGAGGCTGAGCATAGTGCCTTTGTAGATTGTGGTTGGGAGAGGTGTGCTTGTGCTTCCAAGCCAAGTAAGACCTTATAGGTCTTGAATTGTGCTCAGAGGCAAACAGGCATTCAGTGCAAACAGGCTAAAACGGGCTTATGTTTGGACCCTTGGGTCCCAGTTATTAATTTGTGCAACATTCTGCACAAGCTGCAGTTTCTGAGCCATTTTCAAGAGCTGGAAAGTTTCCAGGAACCCAGTTATCTTAGTGTTTTGCTTTTGTATTCAGATCAGAAGGGGTAAAAGGGATAGCTCAGCAGGTTGCACATGTATGCATGGACCCCCATCCCTTGCCCCCCCCCCCCACACACACACTAGCTAAGTTAATGGAGGACAAGATGAAGCAAAACATGTCAACTATTAGTTGACTTTTCAATAGTCAACATGACTATTCAAAAGGAGATGGGCTATATGAACTATTTCAGGTCTGATAATTTTTTAAAAATTATTTTTTGAAATGTTAGGCTTAGGAAGGTTATGCAAATATTCAGTCTGGATTAATCTGTACTCACTAACCAGTCAGGGATTGTTATTTGACATTTTTGCTGTTGCCATGTTTTGTTTTGTAGCAATTCTTTCCTGATGTGATTTGTAATGGCTTGATCCTGATGTTTTCTGGGTGAGTGGGGTGGACATAGGATTATTTGTCGTTTTTCTATCTATTTATCTAGTTATTCATTTATTTCAATTATATAGTGTCTATAGTCAAAGCTCTCTGGGCAGATTAGAACAAAGTATACAAAGAATAAAATACAACAGATAAAATATATCTTTTTAGGAATTTTTTTAACGTTTAGCCTGTATGCTATTACCCTTTTAAATTGTTTTTATAGATGTTTAATTTATTATGTTTTAATTGGTTTTTAATGTGTTTTTACTCTTGGTATGTTTTACATTGCAAGTCACCAAGGAAGGCTTTGGCAATTATAGGCGGCCTATAAATATGTGTAAATAAATAAGACATTAACAAGAATTCAAAATTAATTGAAAACGGCATAAAATACATTAAAAGACAATAAAAAAAACCTGGCCAAGAATAAATGTAAGGCACTTGGATAATTCTTTCAGGGCACTTTAAAGTCCTCCACAAAGAGGAATGTCTTAACTTGGCACCAGAAAAATGGCAAATTTGGCAAAAGGCAGGCCACAACAGGAAGGTTGTTCCAAAGATGGTGGGCCACCACAGAAAAGGCCCTCAACCTAGTTGCCACCCTCCAAGCCTCTCAAGGGGTTGCCACATGGAGGAAGGCCCTGGAGGCTGAGCACACTGTCTGGGTTGATCAGGGCTGGAATAGGTGCTCCGACAGGTATTGCAGTCCCATGGTATGTGGAGTTTTACAGGGTAAGACCAACATCTTGAATTGGGGCTGGAAGCATATTGGCAGCCAATGCATCTGGGCCAGATTGTGCCTTATACGTTCAGCTGAAACTTGTGAACCATCTTCAAGGACAACCCCATGTAGAGTGCATTGCAGGAATCTAATTTAGAGATTACCAGAACGTTCAGTACTCTTAGCTCTGCAGTCTCCAAGCTGGGACTCTGAAGGCTAAGACCTCTCACAGCTGATGCAGAAAGAACTGTCAGCTGATGCAAATGTGCCCCAAAGAGTAGAAAATGGGGGTGCTGGTGGATTGGCGGGGGGGAGAGACTGGGGCAAAAGATTTAACAGCAATTCCTATTTACATCCCAGCCTTCTTCCTTCCCCTTCTCCTGCACTTTTTCTAGTTGGCCAAAAACAGTTTTCTGGCCAAATAGCAAGGCACAAGACATGGCCTGCATCTTGTTTGGGGTATAGAATACATGAAGGGTGGGGGGAATAGCACTGTGCTTTGAATTTGTTTCATTGAATTTCAACCATTCATTCTGTGCATCTTTGCTAGTTTGCTGAAAAGTAACTTAGAAATCACAAAAATAAATAATAGTAAAATAAAAATTACATCATTAACTGGAATGAGAAAGGTGACACAATACCATCTAAACATGCTCTAAAGTTACTTTCAACAAGTTCACTTGGAACCAGTCTGATGTGAATATTGTAGGTTTCCTTCTTTGTGAACACTGAAAATTTGTAGCCCTGTTCTTCCTTGTCAGTCCTAACTGCTTCAGCCACAACAGTTAAATAAGGTATAAGTGACTCTTCATGGATTTTAGTCTGAAAAACAAGCACACAAAATGACATAGCTTTAACGCATATCTTATTCAGCTGACTATCTAAGATAACCTCTCAGAGAATTGTGCAATGGTTTAGTCTTTGAAGCAGATTATTACAGTGGGTGTTTTTAACCTTCCCTCTTTTACAAAGCTCTTTAAAATCTCATACTTATCACTGGGGCTGAATGAGAAATTTGTTTACAATTCAGAGCTAAATTCACACTTCCTGAACCTAAAAAATACAGGTATGAAGTTTGTTGCACATTCTGAAGTCATAGAGTTCACAAAGAAGTACATACAAACACATATATTTTAAAAAAATCAAAAAGCAGGAAAAACTCATGTGAACAGGAAATACATATATTTCAAAAATATGCAAAAATACATAAATTAGCAAATATGCTTTATCCAACAAGGAACCCTTCAGAGAAAAATATTTTAAATGTGCACAAAAATCCATGTAATTTTCATTTGGCCCTCAAAACATAATTGCAGTAGGATGCTAAATTGGACTAGAATGACTTCAGATTTGGACCCCAGTGAAACTGAGCTTCATACATTCTTATTCAAAGAGCAGTTCATTAGATGCCCCAACCAGTAGCTTTTCATGGAATTGATCCCTGGGGTACAGATGGCAAATCTTAGAACAAGTAGCACTGATTACTAGGGGGAAAAGATTACAGCCCTATAATTTTAGTCATTGGTGTTCACATGTAACCACATGTTTAAATTGCTTGCATGTTGAGGGGATACTCGGATAGCTACTAGAGGTGGAAGCTTTAAATTAGGTTGGAAATAAATAATTGGTGTTTGTGTAAACATATTATTATCCTGGGTCCTTCTGATTTCTCTGATTGGACACTTAGATGTGGAAGAACTGCTACAAAATTCCTATTTTCAGAATGCAAATGACAGATTGCTGGAACAGGTCCAATTTCAGCTGTAAAAAGGTGCTTTTTTTCTTCAAATGATGAACTACTTGACTGTTCCTGATTTGCCTGATGGAATATAAAATTGAAAGAGAGAGATTGCGGGGAGGGGGAAGGGAAAGAACACTGTGATACAGAACTGTCAAACTATCCAGTTAAATATTATTTCATTTCCAAGCCTTCATTTCTTGTTTCTGAAAGCACATTGCAGATACATTAGTGGCTTATGACAACATTGCAGACCAGGATTGTGTGAGTAATTTCTCTTGGGGTGGGAATCCATTGGAGTACCAGGACTTGGTCCCACAATCCAGTCCACTTTCCAGCAACCCAGAGTCTACAGTCATGCTGAGGGTGTCCACTCTTTGTGGGGAGTTTGCAAGGAATCGACCTCTACTCAGTGCTCTTGCACATGAGGAAAAACTGTTCAAATAATAGCTGCTCCTGGTGTAGCCTCCTTGACTGCTCCTAGCATCTCTCAAATACTGAGTGACACTCCGGGCAGTTAGAGTGGCTGGTTCTTATGCACAAGAGTGATGCTATGAGCAGTTTGGGGGGCTGCATGAGGAGCAGCCAGCATTTGAGTTGAAAGCCACCATTTGAAAGTTGCTGGTTGTGCAACAGGGCTCATCAAATGTTGAGGACTTTGTCTCTCCTAGTGGCTCTCTTTGGAAGAGAGCACAATAGGAATAGGCTGAGCACAATAGGAAGCTGGTGAATGCTTAGAGAGACAGATTGCAACAGGGTTTGACCCAAACATACTTTTAGCACTCTAAAGATGTAGCCATCTATACCTATACTTGATAGTATGAAATTATACTGGCATAACTGTTGGTCTACCAGTTTCTGAGCACCATCATGTCAGATAGATTAGCTTTTAATTTTTGGACTTTATACCAATGCCTAACAAAATATATGCAAACTTTGGTCTTTATACTGATGTATAACAAAATAGAATGAAGGAAGAATGGAATTTGAAGCAGCTAAGGTCCAGATAGAATACAATTTTGTGAGCATTTGTGAAATATTTACAGGATTGCTAAGTTTTCACACAAGACAGAAACATCTAACCGCTGCCTAGGAAGGCCTTGGCGGTTGTAGGCGGCCTATAAATACATGTATAAATAAATAAATAAAGCTTTGAAATATGCAATGATATTATCAGCGCTGTTTCACACAAGCTATATGAGAAGCATGTTGAGACACTTGTATGGATCTCTAGCTGATCTGATTAGACAAATTAGTTTTAATCAGATTAATAGTTTATTTTCCATTAATTTGCCTCAGGCAAATCTTCTCATAGTTTTTCTTATGCAGTTATAATGTTATATTGGATTACCTAAATATGTAACTTTGTTTGAAAGTTCCAATTTAGAATTCCTGAGATTCTTTATAGCATTTGTTCTTTACTCAATGAACAATAGCTGGAATAGTCCAAGTACCACAGGCTCAGGAGATAGACTAGGTGGGAGAAAAATACAATTTCTGGCACATTTGACAAAAATCAGTAAGTTGGTTTGCAGAATATAACAAAATTTCTTAAAATACTATATTGGGAAGTTTATGCAATGTAGTATTGAGCAGATATAAATTTCAACAAAACAAAGCCCTGGCAAGAGTACAGCACAATTATTTCTAAATATGATGCAGATTTAACTAAAACTGAATCCTATCAGTTGGTGCTTTGTTTAATCAAGACTTCAAAATACAAATATTCTTAAAAGCATACTAAATAGCATAATTAATAGATAAATTGGAAAGGATCAGACAGGCTTTAGTAAGAAAAATTGTAAATGGATATTCAGAGTCTGCGCAATTCAATTTCAGTGACTAATTGATTCAAATAAAAATCCTATATGACTTTTTTAGATGCTGAAAAAGCATTTGAACATATAGTATGGGATGATTATCACCAAGAATTGCATAAATTTGGTTTATGGGAAAATTTTAATTCAATGCACAGCTCCATTCTTGGGAACTCACTCCAGTGTTTAAGCTTGGCTCCACACTTGGAGTACCTTCCCACTTTCTTGCAGTTGATGGAAATCAGCTGTCTAGCTGTTTTAAAGGATGTAAGGATGACAACTCTTGCCTCTGCACTCCATTAATCCTCCATAGGACACCTGTAATCAATTGAGTTCAGAGAGTAATGGGCAGCCACATTAGCACCACCAATGGGTCAAATTAATATATACAAATACTACTGCCTCTGTGCATGTAAATTGATATAGTGTAAATCTTCCCCACTACCACTATCTGTCAGGGATATGTACTATCTACTACTATTTTCTTTCTTTTTTGCATGTGCATTTTGGATTTCCATTATGGAATGGAAACTCTTGCTGTAAATTTCTGAATAAAGGCAAGGAGTTAAATTTATGTAAAATTAATTAATCATGTAAAATTAATTAATTAGTATACTAATGATATTGCATTGATACTACAGGATCTTCTGAAGGTGTTTTGGGGAATTTCTAGGGTTGTTTAAACATTTTAGTCAAGTAGCAGGGTAGAAAATCAATTTATTTATATCTGAATAGATATTTAGAAAAGGAGGAGAAGCTAAAATATATTCACTCTTATGAAGAGATCCCCCGGTCAAATATCTTGGTATATGGATTATGGTTATCTTGAAAGACTGCATAGCCTATAATTATACTAACAATGAACAAGTAATTGATTTTGATCTTGAGAAATTGCCATGGAGCAGAATGTATTGGGCTAGGAAAATATCAACAAATAAAATAGTGTATGGCCAAGAATACTTTTTAATTTTTCATATTCTGTTGTTGATGAATGGAGTACTAATAAATGGCAAAAATAATATCAGACAGCAAAAAGGCAACAATTAGTGCAACAATATTTTATTAGCACCTTACCGTATTAAATGGCATTATACTGCTTCTTTGCTGCCTAAAATCATGGCTTATATCAGGTAAAGGAACTAAGATAGACCAAAGGAAATGAGTGACTAGTATTAACACATTCTGGTTTTATAATAAAGGATATAGAAATGATAAGGGGAAGCCTCCATATTAGCAATTTATATAAATCTGATAATCCACTCTATAAGAATAGAATGAATTATCTATACAATAGATAGAATAGATCTATAAGAATGGAGTGAATAGATAATTCACTCTATAAGAATAAAGTGAATTCTGGACTACCAACTTTTACTCCTGTTTAATATAAAACAATATTGAGTAATCTGAATTTTTAGGAGAAAATAATTTATTAGGGTAAATATATAACGGAATTCAGAAATTTCTTTAACAATTGTCACTTTTTTAAAAAGCTATCATTACATGCTTAGGGAAATAGAACACTGTATCTCAGTTTTTCAATAATGCAAGATTAGGCATGAAGATCCAATTTAATATCTACATGTTGGTCTCTTAGAGATTGCTCTAGCTTTGAAGCAATAATATCAAATGGGGTACATTAGAGACAGTCAATGTTATGATATTGTAGTTAACTTTAAAATAAGGAACATCTGCTTGACTAAATGGAAAAAGGAAGGTAAATCACTTAACACATTTGAGCACAAATAAAAGAAAATTTATAAATTTACTTAATTTATATAAACAATGCTAGTTAACAATTATCTTTAGGAGTCTTTAGGCAGGAAAAGGAAAATGTTGGTGATGTGGTTCCAGTTGTTCAAATATATGCCATGATTTATGGCCCTTATGGTCGTAAGTTTTGGAGGATGACATAGGATGAAATTATGAAAAATGTTGTTGTTGATGAGCATTTTTAATTTAATATTGATAGTTTCATTTGGAAAAAGTTAAAAATATAGTCCCACGTGATGAAGTCAGAACTATTCTTTAAATACTGATGACTGCCCAGATGACAATAATGTATAGATGAAAATGAGTTAATTTTCCAACAATTGATGTTACTATATGAGGATTTAGGATACTCCCTGGATGATGAAATTAACTAATATAATTTACCTCATAAAAGAGAGATCAGTAAACAGTTTCTTTATAGAAAATTGCATCACTTTATTTTATCTTGAGATAATAAAGTCCAGGATTTAGTACAACATTAATTATTATTATGGGCAATTCAATTGATTTGAATTTAAGCTATTATTCTTTAATATCATCTGTATTTCTGTAAGATGAAATACTTGCTTTTATCTACTGGCCAGGGCTGCATGAAGACATTTTGCTGCCTAAGGCAGACAGCATGCCTGCTTCTCATTCCATGTACTAACTCTATCTGGATAGGCAAATCAATCTGTCTTTAATACTAATGGTGAGACATTGTTCTCCACTGAACCTGCCTGAGGTAACTACATCAGCCTGTCTAATGTTAGGGTTGGCTCTGCTACTGTGAGTTTGCTTTGTAATAGTAAAATAATAAATAAATAAATTAAAAGACAGACGGACAGACAGAAAGAGGCTAGACAGGCAGGGATTATGCTTTGACAGGTTAAATACAAAACATTTTTTTCAAAAAGGATGCCAATAACAAGTATATTAGTTATTATTGAGACCAGAGCAAATATTATTCCAAGCAAAAGGTCTAAAAATAAAAAATATTGTTTATTTTAGTTAAATTGGAAGGATGAATTATACAACAAATTCTTTTATCTTCCTTTACAGGGAAATCAATTCTCGGAATCAAAAATATTGAACCTACCTGTTTAAAGTGCCTTTTCTTGACACTAAGCATAGATAGTTTTGGAAAATGCTGCAAAAATCCATGAAACAATGGTGATTCAAATGCATTTTAATGAAGAAATGGATAAATTGACTTTTGGAAGCAGCTTTGAAAAAAGCACTTGCCAAAGAAAAAACATTCCAGATAGGGTTGTCTGACCTTTTGGAATGTTCGATTTGCTCTGATCGCCTTCCGCTATTGCTGTCCTTAGTGCTGCTTTCCTTATTTGCCTGGTGTGCCTGCCCCTTCTCCACGTTGCCCTGCCTTGAATCAGCCTTGCCATGTTTCTTGCACTGTGCTCTTCTCTTTGCAAGTCTGTTCTGCCTGCTGTGGCCACTGCCGCCGCTGGAGTCAGTGCTGCTGCTGCCGCTGCTTTTGTGGCTGTGCCTGCTGCTTCGACTCTTGTTGCCATCGCTGCTGGAGTTGCTGTCACTCCTTTTGCTGCTGCATCTGCTGCTTCTGCTCCCACTGCTGTCAGCGCTGCTGCTGCTGTCACTGTGGCTGCCACTGCTAGTGGTGGGACTGCTGTCACCACCACTGCTGTTGCTAATCTCAGCAGCTGAACAGGCCTTCTTACTTGTCTTAGTAAAATGTTCTCGGTTAAATTGGTCCTTCTCATCATGTTCTTGCTGCTGATATTGTCCACCCTTTTCAACTGATGCTTGCTTCAAAGCCCACTCCTGCGAATCATTGCTCATGGAACTGTCAGAACCCTCACAGGAGTGATAGCCGTTCCTTCCGTCCTAGCAGGGGACATAACCAGAAAAAGAGAATTATGATTTTCTTAAATTTTCCAGATGCATGGGTGAGATTATGTGTACCTAGTTTCATATACTTGAATGGCTACATGACAGGTAGGTCCAAGATGGACCATGTTATACACACCTGCCATCTAGGCTGCATCTGTTCAATTGGGACAGATGGGGGAAAATTTTAGTTCTGTTTGATTGCCATATGGATTTTCCAGAATTCACACTTTTTTCATATTTCTAATGAAAAGAACTTGAGGCCTTAAAGAACTGAATGTGCAACAACTCAATGTGCAAACAAACAAATCAAAATCAAGAGTCATCATTCCAAATGCCTCTTACCCCTTTTATCTGCCTGTAAACTTGGCCTACCTTTGGAGGCTCCCCCAGAGATGTTCCCTCCAACTGAATTTAGGTGGATAGCCTGAGAAAATAGGGTTCTTTCCATTGTAGCACCCCATTTATGCAATCTCCTCTCCAAGAACGTTTGCCTGGTACCCACACTGTCTTTCATTGTCAAGCAAACATATATCTCTTTTTCCAGGCATTTTTATTGCAATATTATTGTCCAAGGCTTTTTGATTTATTTTGTACTTTTGGGGGATAAAAATATGTATGGCCAATCCAGAATATTTATGTTATAAGGACGCACTTAATATAGATTGATAAACCAACATATCCTTCCAATAGTGAATTTTTCCATGATCCACAAAATCCTTATTTATTCAAAATTAATGTGAGTACATTATTATATTGGAAGAATAGTGACTAAGACATCCCACTCAGACTGTGTACAACTAATATTTTTTAAATATTCTTTTAAGCCTGTAAATACATGTGTTGCAGCCCTTATAAGATTTAGATATTATCCTCCCATGATCATATAAATGCATTGCTTTCAAAACACACCATAGATGTACCTGAATTGGGTTTTTCTCTAACTCTTCTTTTCCATTTCTCAACAAATGCACCAACTGTGCAGCAGCACGAGCACCTCCTTCAACAGTCAATTGTAACTTCTCAATTTTATATCAGCTGAAAGTATATAAATAGAAAAAACTCATGCAATAGCTTGTAATAAATCCAATAAGTTGGCTTGAATCTCAACATTTAGAAAACTAACATCATGGCATTTAGTCCTATCACTTCCTGGCAGACGGAGAAGAAATTGAGGTAGTGACAGATTTAATTTTCTTGGGCTCCATGATCACCGCAGACAGGGGCTGCAGCCAAGAAATTAAAAGACGCTTGCTCCTGGGGAGGAAAGCTATGGCAAATCTAGACAGCATACTAAAAAGCAGAGACAACAGAAGTGCGTATAGTCAAGGGTATGGTTTTCCCAGTTACAATGTATGGCTATGAAAGCTGGACCATAAGGAAGGCTGAGTGCAGAAGAAGTGAGGTTTTTGAATTATGGTGCTGGAAAAGACTCCTGCGAGTCCCTTGGACCGCAAGGCGATCAAACCGGTCAGTCCTAGAGGAGATCAACCCTGACTGCTCTTTAAAAGGCCAGTTTTTGAAGATGAAACTCAAATACTTTGGCCACCTAATAAGAAGGAAGGACTCACTGGAGAAGAGCCTAATGCTGGGAACAATTGACAGCAGAAGAAGAAGGGGATGGCAGAGAATGAGGTGGCTAGATCGACTCACTGAAACAGTCGGTGTGAGCTGAAGTGGACTCTGGGGGATGGTGGAGGACAGGAAGGCCTGGGGGAATGTTGTCCATGGGGTCACGTTGGGTCGGGTGTGACTTTGCAACTAGCAATAAATCCAACAAATGAACATTTCTCAAATGTAGCCTTTGGGCATTTTCCTTATGAACCTTACCACTTTGGTTTGTTGATAGGTGTGGGGTATCATTTATTATGAACTACTTCTGACCACCATGGTTGCATTGCAATTTTTACTTTCAGGCACAGGAAAAGTCCATTTTGCTATTCTTTGCAATAAACCTTTCCAATGTCATATTATATTCAGATTATTTTTGTACAAGTTTGCATTTCAACAGTAGTTTGCCAACACAGACAACTTTAGATGACAATTCAACCATGCCATACAGCTACACAGAGAACAAGTGCAGATGAAACGACCAGCCTGGGGAGTATGCTACAAACAGCAAACAGTGACAAATAATGCTCACAGGGCTGTCATTTCATCTTCTACACATGTATAATTAATTCAGTTTCTATGTAAAATTGCATTTAAAAAGTTTTTGTTACAGTTACTTCTTCCCTCTTAATGGCTATGGAAATATTACCAACAAAGTTCAAACATTCACCCCACTCTTACAGAAAGGGGGTTTGTATCTCTGACAATAGGCCATGTCATAGTCCATTTGATGTTTTGAGACAATAGTAACTAGCACATGGTCATGATATATAGAAGTTTATATATATAAACTTAGGCGATGGCCTAAGGGTGGTGACGCCGCCATTTGGGGGCCGAGTGGGGGGCTAGGCTGGCCTGGGGCTCTGGTAGTTGGCCTTGGTTTCGTTTGTGGGCTAGCAGTGGTTTTAAGTAGGATGTTTTTAGTAATTTTGTTGGTTTTAGGTTGCTTTTAATTGGTGCATCTCATGCTGTACTATGATGTTGCCTGGGGAGCGTGTGGGCGCCGCCATTGGGGTGGTGATGGGCAATGGACATTATGGCGTTGGGGCTCTAACAGGTCTGCATAGAAGAAGGAGGGACAGATGGTTAACACCTGTCCCTCTTTCTGGTTATTCCCCCAACTAGCGGGTTCCAGGTAGACTTGTCAGCTGCCTCCCAGGCCTGTTGGTGCTGTTGCTTAATGCCAGGTTGGTCCAAAATAAGACAACACTCATCCATGATTTGATCATGGATGAGAGGGCCAACCTGGCTTGTATCACAGAGACCTGGGCGGGTGAGGGGGCGGATGTCGCCCTCTCACAACTGTGCCCGCCTGGGTACCTGGTCCAGCACTGAACACGCCTGGAAGGGAGGGGGGTCTCTCTGGTTTATCGAGCTTCTATTTCCCTTGTGGGGCTTCCTGTCCTCTCGGGGCCGGGGCTGGAGTGCCTCCACTTGGTGTTGGGTGACTGAGACAGATTGGGGATTCTGTTGGTGTACCATGCACCCTTCTGCCCAACAGACTCCCTGCCTGAGCTGACGGAGATCGTCTCGGACCTGGTGTTGAGGACTCCCAGGATGTTGGTCAATCTCCATGCCGAGATGGTTCTAACGGGGGCGGCTCAGGACTTCATGGCCTCCATGGCAGCCATGGGGCTGTCTCAACACGTCAGTAGCCTGACTCATGAACGTGGACACACTCTGGACCTGGTTTTCTCGACGGGGCAGGAAGAGGGTGATCTGAGGGTGAGGAATTTAAGTTTGATGCTCTTGTCATGGTCAGATCACTTCCTCATAAGGTTTGAGCTCGAGAGCGGCCTTTCCCTCTGTAAGGGTGCAGACCAGACTGTATTGGCCCACCCCTGAAGCCGGATGGATCCTGATGGATTCCTGAAAGCTCTGGGGGATTTTCCGGTTGACAAGGCTGGTGATCCTGTCAATGCCCTGGTTGAATTGTGGAATGGGGAGATGACCAGGGCTATTGACACGATCGCTCCCAAGCGTCCTCTCCCACCTGGCAGAGCCTGTTCATCTCCTTGGTATACACCTGAATTACGGGCGATGAAGCAGGTTGGGAGACGTCTAGAGCATAGGTGGAGGAGATCATGGGGTGAATCCGTCCGAACACACTTAAGAGCTCATTATCAGGCCTATGCTGTGGCAGTGAGGACAGTGAAGAAATTCTTCTCCGCTTCCATTGCCTCCTCACAATGCCGTCCGGCGGAGCTCTTTCGGGTGGTGCAAGGGCTGATAAATAAGTTTCTTAAAGTTAATCATGGGATCAAAACAGGATTGTGGGAGAGGAACTACTGCTGTCCACCAGCATAGTCTGTTTATATTCCCAAAGATTTACTTCAGATTATTAAGGATCTGAAGCCTGGATGTCCAAGACCAGCAATACATAAACAGTGACTCTTCAGAATCAATCTTTTCAGAATACACCAGGGTATGACATTGCATTTAGATAAATGTGAGACCACAAGGACATATACTTTTTGCTGTGCTGTGTTATTATAATGCCACACATATGAGCACTTCAAACTTGGGTTATGTTCTGAACCTTCAAAATATCCACATAAAGCAACACACAGTAGAATACAATCAAGATTTACCTGGCAAGTTGCTTAATTTTAAAGCATGTTCACTAAGTATGTTGGACAGAGAACCCCTGTCAATACATCCAGCATATAAAAATTCAATGCAAGCTTTACATCCAAAGGTACAGATTTCAAAGCACTTATTTAGGTGAGCTAAATGATGTTCTGACTGCCTTGGTGAATGAATCTTTTCTGTTGTCTTGGTTTCTGAAGAAACTGTGTCCTGGGTGGGCAACATACCTTTTCTAGTATTAGTAGACAAAATATCCGACTGTATCAGACTGTGTGTTTATCTCTCAAATTAGCATTAATTTAACTGGATTGTAGCTGCCATAAAACTGTGAATGAATCGATGGTTGAGGAAATGCAGTTCTGTGATCAGCACTTCAGTTCCAGTATAAGTTACTTCATCGATTTACATCCAGCTTGAATAGTATAAGTACCGCCCTGTAGTCCTAACCTGTTAAAATCATGGGTTGGATTCAGACTTAGTCATGCACTTACTATTCCAATGGCTTAAATTGCATATTAAATTGATTGGGATAACAGTATTTTAATCCCTCTCTCCCCATCTTGCACGCTTCTACGCCATCCAGAAGATTGCTCCAGAGGATTTCCCAGCCTCCAGGGCAGATTTGAGAGCACATTCAGAGCTGCAGTGAGCCAGGATAAGTGGGATCTCTCCCTCATAGTTCCACATATGTTAGTGCCACTGTCAGTGGAATAGCACTTTTGGATACAATCCACAGGGTCTACCCTAACATCTGGATCCACCCAATTAGGATTTAGTCAAAGCTATTTTTCATTGAATCAGAACCATTTATTTTACTTGGTATATATCCCTCCCTGAAACAATGAGTAACTCAACTCCACAAATCTCACCCCAGTTTTAATCACTGAAATATTTTTAAAAAATCGCACAAAAAACTCTGATTGTTCTGAGAATTGGCCTAGAATATATTATTTTTTAAAAAATTAAACAACTCAGTAAGAAATATTACTGAGGACTAATTACAAACTAAAATACAGATGAAAAGGCTTTTTCTGCTATTATTTTTAAATCACAGAAATAGAAAAAACACACACCAGTTCTCTTCTCTATAAAAGTATTACACCATTTTTGAAGAAAAAAAAGTTCATCTAAAAAGTTTATTCTTTTATTTCCTTCAGTGGATGAAGAATCAAAGGGCTGCTTCAACATGTTAGAAGTTGTTTCAGGAAAATAAACAGGAGTTGACTTAGTAACTGGTGCCTCTTCAATATTATGAGTGATAGCAGATGTGTTAAATCTTCAGGATGAACAGAAAGAAGCAGCACAAGGATGTTAAAAAGACCTGAGTTATGTATTGCAATATGGACTTGACAGCAAATACTATTCCTTGTGAATTACTTTACAAATTGTACATTTAGCCATGGCTATTCCTAGTTTAAGCAAAATCAACATAGTGTAGTTTATCTCGAATGACATTATTAGACTTCATTTCATTTAGTGTCAGGGATGGCATTTGATTCTAACAGCTGTTAATTTCATTTTAAAGTAAAAGAGCAAGCCACTGAGATGTATTCAATCCCACATCAGGGTTTCATTGATTACTCGGCTGCAAGATTCCAAAGCTCAATGGTGGATGTATATCCTGTTTGGGTCAATTCCGCAGAAAACATGGATTCAAAGATGCAGAAAGAAAAAGCTTCAGTAGGAAGGTATGACTATGTGAGCATCTGTTATAAACCCTTTGAGATGTTCTTGAGAAGTGCCTAATCCACTCCCCAGCCTGGAACAACAAAAAATGAACATTTTTATACTGTTTGTGCAAGTGGAAGGTTATTTCAGGAGGAAAATCTTAGTCTATTAATTTGTTAAAGTAACAAAATGAAGTGCCAAAGAGCTTACATTGCTGATATTTCTATTATCTAGAAATATTATTAGTGGTTTGGGTACTGAGTTTTGATGTACAAAATTCAGGGTTGAATACTCATGCTGCAGCTAGGATACTGACTGGATGGCTGTAGACAAGTTGCTTTCTTTTAGCTTAAGCTACACCACAGAGTCATGATGAAGATAAAATTAAGAATTATTTGGATACCAAGGTGAGCAGCTAACATGACAATATCATTCATTGCAGCAGTCACCTAACAGATACAAGTCATTCCTACTAAACATGAAAATATATTGTCGCACCATGTCACTGCCATATATTTTGCATGTTTACTCACAAGCTTCTGTAACTCAGTTCAGTGGGATTTATCCACATGTTAAGTAAGCGTAAAGAGAGCTGACTGTGCAGCACTAGTGGTCCGTTTATTCTCTAGCAGTTTAAAGAACTGAACATATTAATGCCCTGGCGGATGTCAAACTCAGGAATGATCAAAGGGGAAAGAAGTGTTGATATATTTCAGGGAGGGGGAGTACACAGATTCTTGCTAGTTCACCTGAAGTTAATTGCAGCATTGGGAGCCCCTGTCACATGTAGCTAATAAGTCCAAGCCACAAAGGGAAAGATATTGAAAACTGACCAAGGCCAGAAGGAATGAGGAGAAGAAAATAGCAAGAGGTTCTATATGTGAAGCCTTAACAGACAGGCAAGTTTTATTTTGGAAGCATAAATGAAGATAGGACACAGTATGAGAACAGTGGCAGACTCTATGAAGTGCCAGCTTATCTTTTGTTTCAGATCAAGCTGGAAGGATGTTTCACTCTTCCATGAAGTGGAGCAAGGTTAGAATATCCCTGAGAGGCATTAGACTGGAGAACTTACATTTTTACTTTTAGTATTCCACACAAGTGACTGATACTATTGCCTCAGGGTTGTTTTGAGAACACTGATAGGATGAAGTGAGACTTGTCTAGCTGTGAACTGAGAGGCAATTGGTATCCTCATGTCGAGTATATAATCTGTTTCACACTCAGTGATGAAACTGAAGAACACCTGATCTTTTGTGTCTGAAAGGTGGATCTGCATTCCTTTTATCTTTCTCGCTTTTCTTTCAGTTGGTGCCTATAGTGTTGGGAGTACTTAGAGAGCATGCAGTTGCACTACATATGGAACACCTTTGTCAAATGAAAATAAATAAATAATGCAGTATTACCCTGTGGGATTTCTTTCCAAGTCTTCTGTTTCAGTAAAGGGCATGACAGTCACATCCCATGCTAAGCCTAGCTAGAACCTTCAGGAAAAAAACCAGAACCAAAGTATTATTTCAGACAAACTGAGCAGATGAAAGGAATTGCAAATCAACTTGCATTTTTAAGATAGTTGAAATGGGCAGAAGAGATTAAAGGAAAGTGGCTTTCACATTATTTTCACATTATTCACATTCACCACATTGCAGGCCATGTCTCCAGGCAGAAATCATTGGAATTCCATCGCTCAGGCTTTTTGTTTTAGTATTTTGAAATGTTTTTTAAAAGTCTATAGGAACCTTTGCCTCTTAACAACACTGGATGATCAATTCTTCCCCACGGAGAATCAACAAATGCAGTTGTATCACTGCTGACACATGCCATTTTATACACAGTAGCACAACACCGCAAACATAAGTCACTAAATAGCCAGTTCTGGTGTTTTAACAAGGAAGAGGAAAAGTTACAAGCTAAACCTAAAGGTAACTATGGAAGTTTCTATGTTCTGTGATTGCTGCTCAAGGGAGGAAATAAAGAGAGAGAATTGTGCATTTCCTAGATAAAAGAACTGTTCATTTTCCTGTACTAGCAGAATATTTCCATGGGTAAAATTCATTTTTTCTAAATGCCAGCCCATTTATTAAAATTTCAGACAGGTGGTGTGGCTCTGCCACAATACTGGGTTGTTCTTCAGGGTATAGGTGCTATTTGAGCCACCTCGGACAAGTGCTTTGCCATATACTAGACCGATCTTCAGGGTATAGATGCCCAGTATACTGTTACAGTGATGGAAGGAACATTGATTTCTGACTGATATGCAGATAATAGTCTGTTCCTAGAGGGGTGACAACCTTAAAGGGATGGAAATGCTGCTACTGCCCCCACTCCCTCAGCATGCCATGCAAGTGGCCCCAGGCTGCCTGGCTCTGGGCTTGCGCCGCCTGCCAAGGAGCTATGATCAGTGGGAACACCTAGAAGGTGGCTGCGCCACTCGCCTTTGTCAGGCAGCGCAAGACCAGAGCCAGGCAGCCTGGGGCCACTTGCACAGTGTCCTGAGGGGGTGGCACTGGTGATGGCACTGGTATTCTCAGAGCTGCATGTAAGTGCAGCTCTTCTCAGCTTCTCAGGGTTGCTGCCATCACCAGGGAAACCGAGCGAGCAGATCGTAGCAGGAGGAGGGAAAGAGATCAGTTCCCCTGGAGAAGGCAGCAGTGCTGAGTGAGTGGGAAGAGCAGCTAAGCTTCAGTTGCTGCTCTTATATGCCACCCCTCTGTGGCTCCTCCTCAGGGTTTTTTTTTTTTTGCCACTGGCTGGAAATCTGTGGACTGGCACCAGTCTGCAGACTGGCGGTTGAAAGCAACTGGTATAAATGTATTAAAGTTACTTGCTTAACTTCCTAAATTACACTTTAAAATTTCAGATATACAATAGATGGATATATTGCCGGTAAATGGCCCATTAGAGGCTTCCTTAAAAGCTCTTAATTTAATAGTTTGGATCAAGATAACACTTTAGTCCCAATGAAATTACTGGGGCTGCTTAGTCAGGACTAATTTCCTAACTTAGTCTGGATCTAACTGAATGATTGCTTGATGATTTTCCTTTATGAAAAGACCATCTGAAAAAAACACCAAAAACAGACCTTCCATTATCACAGGATCTCTCTGTTTTGTTGCATTAGCTACCACCTTTGAGTATGATTATCTGGTTTTAGTGTTTTTATTGCATTCTGCATAATTTTAATTACACTCTTGTACAAACTTTTGGTATCTACAAGGATGAATAGTGGCTTAAAATGTTTTAATCAATATATATCACTACACAGAGACTTGGGTGCGATTTGTCATTGGTGGCAACCATTACCCTCAAATGGAGATCCAGAGAAGTGTTCAGTGAGCTCAGCTCAGCCTGGAGGAAATGGGCAGGGAAAAAATGCATGTAAAACTTTCCCCATGAAGCCCTTGGCTGGTCTAGATAGCTTGGAATTCTCCACAGTGGTATGAAAAACGACATAGGAGGGCTGTTGGGAAACATGGGAAAGATTGGCACTTGCTATCTTCTACTACACGTAGGAAGCTTCTGCTGTACCTAGGCGTGTTCTGTGAATGGAAGGGGCTGCATCAATCTGATTTCAGCAGACTGAATAGTAAATGTTGAGAATCAAACTCAATGCATTCCCCTGTTTAGGTTATGTATCGGCTTTATATTAACTACTGAACAAACAAGGCCAAGAGGGAGCATACTGTGCCAGACTAATATTTCTCACTAAACAGAACTGATGTCAGTGAGGTAAAAGATGAAGTGTTATGACAATAGGGGACAATAATAGTAGGGAGAATAAAGAAACAAAGTGGAACAAAGAGGTCCTTTAATATGGCAAGTCCGTGGAGCTCCCATCGAAAATGTACTTTCTTCTGATTGTTTTAAAAAAATCTGTTGTTTGATATAATGTTGCACAAAAATGTTATTATATTGACCTTGTATGCATTGATTTCAACACTTTCACAGTTTATACACAAGCACACTTAGGTTGGCTTGCAAAAAAGATAAATGCTCTCAGATATTACAATAAGTCACATTTGTGTTCAGGCTCACAAATAAGATACACATGTGAGCCAAAGTTATTTGCATTGGACTTTTTCAAATGTATTAAAATTAAATTTAGGGTAGTGCTAGTAATGCTGTCTTGGTCAAAATGCAACAGACTAGTGACCTTATTTGTCTGAGCTTTTTTTTTTTTTTTTTTTTATTAAAAAGAAACCCTGAGGTTTTTTTTACCTTTCCCCTTTTTTTTAATTTTTTTTTTTTTTTTTTTTTAATACAAAGCAAGCCTGAGGTTATTCTTACACTGACCACTTTATTTGATATGTCTGCTGCTGTTTATATGGGATTGGATTCAGAGACAGTCGTACTTAGAGCAGGTATAGTGAAATCAGTGAGTCAAAGTAGCCACTACTAAATTAAGCCTCATTTAGTGGATCTTCTCACTATGATAAATAAGCTTGGATCCAACCTAATGTTTGTTCTATTTGAGCACACTGTTAAACATATCTGTTCACTGTATTAACACACTTAAATTCAAAATATTGTTTAAAAAGTATTTAAATGAACAAATAAATGGTTGTCCAGTGTTACTATTAAAAAAAACTCTGAGTGCTTTCACATTTT